AGTAGTAGTAGTAGTAGTAGCAAAAGTAATAGAAGTAGTAGTAGTAGTAGTAGTAAAAGTAATAGTAGTAGCAGAAGAAGTAGTGTAAGCAGTAGTGGTAGAAGTAATAGTAGTAGCAGAAGAAGTAGTGTAAGCAGTAGTAGTAGAAGTAATAGTAGTAGTAGTAGAAGCAGTAGTAGAAGTTGTGTAAGCAGTATTAGAAGTAATAGTAGTAGAAGAATTAATAGTAGTAGTATTATTGGTGTAAGCAGTAGTAGTAGTACTAATAATAGTGGACGTAGTAGTTGCTGTAGTACTATTAGTAGTACAATTAGTGTCAGCAGTAGTAGTAGGAGTAGTAGTACTAGTAGTAGTAGTACTGGTAGAAGTAGAAGAAGTGTAACCAGTAGTATTAGAAGTAGTAGTACTAGTAGTAGTAGTAGTAATAGGAAAGCACTGTGGAGTATTAGTAATAGTAGTAATAGAAGTAGCGTAAGCACTAGTAGTAGAAGTAATAGTGGAAGTAGTGCAAACAGTAGTAGTAGCAGTAATAGTAGTAGCAGTAGCAGAAGTAATAGAAGTAGTAGTAGTAGTAGTAGTAGTAGTAGCAGAAGAAGTAGTGTAAGCAGTAGTAGTAGTAGTAGTAGAAGTAATAGTAGTAGCAGAAGAAGTAGTGTAAGCAGAAGTAGTAGAAGTGATAGTAGTAGTAGTAGTAGAAGTAGTAGTAGTAGTAGAAGCAGTAGAAGAAGTTGTGTAAGCAGTATTAGAAGTAATAGTAGTAGTAGAAGTAATAGTAGTAGTAGTATTAGTGTAAGCAGTAGTAGTAGTGTTAATAGTAGTGGACGTAGTAGTTGCTGTAGTACTATAAGTAGTAGAATTAGTGTCAGTAGTAGTAGTAGTAGTAGTAGTAGTACTAGTAGTACTAGTAGTAGTAGTACTGGTAGAAGTAGAAGTAGTGTAACCAGTAGTATTAGAAGTAGTAGTACGAGTAGTAGTGGAATACGTAGTAGTAGAAGTAGTGTAAGCAGTATTAGTAGAAGTAGTAATGGCAGAAGGAGTAGTGTAAGCAGTAGTAGTAGCAGGACGTAGTGACTGGATGCTGACTACACTAGTCCCGAAGCCTGTGCGCTATTTTCAACGCTAACACAATTTCAAGGTAATCATGTTTTCCACTAATTTGTAGTAAAGTATTTATTTGGAGTTGCATATTTAAACGGCAACGCCTATTACGCCTAACTATACAAAACTAGTGATGATAGTAGAGCACCGACTCTTCTGCTTGCGGAACAAACTCGTCCCCTTGCGGCTCAATCCAGAGCCCTCGCAGGGAGGAGCATAACGACTTAAAATATATGCTGAAGTGGGACCGCTAATTATAAGGGAGACCGGAATGGCTATTTCTGATTTATTAACCGTCATCAGCCAGTCATGCCCAACCCAAGGTGGTGTACCACCCGAGGCTCGAACTCGCAACCTATTTAGTGACCAGATGTGCGGGCGAGTTCGAGCCTCGGCTGCTGCACCACTCGAGATTAGGTATGACCGGCTGATGACGGCTAACAAGCCAGAAATGGCCATTCCGGTCTCCGTAGTCTGTGTCGGAACCACTCCATCATATTCTGAGTTCGCTAAGCGACAGCCTGCAAGCACTCAAGTAGGAACCTCAAGGCAAAACGGGACGAGCAAATGCCCTAATCAGATAGATCAGATGAACACCCTAGTGCCACCATATTTCCGATCGAAACCGACAAAAACAACGGGCCCGTGGTGCATTGGTAGTGTGTTACGCCCAATGACGTGGGTTAGAATCTCGGGAGTCATCGCCCCCTGGAATTAGGTACGACAGGCTGATGACGACGAATAATAAGTCAGAAATGGTCATTCCGGTCTCCTTGTCTCTGTCGGTCCCACTTCACTATACTCAACTTGAAGTGCGGAAGTCTTGGGGCAGTCAAAAGTTGCGATTAGAATACGAATGCGTACAGCCTTGCATCAAAGTACAGAAGTCTCACGTTGAATGCATCCGGACACCATTAAAAGGAGGTCCGCATGAAGCTGGAGATCAGAGGCGAAGAGGGGCGATGAGCTCAACAAACTGAGAAAATGCCAACAGAGAAGGGCCATCTTGGGACGCCGTTGACGCCCCAGGTAGTTTAGACTACCTCCTTCTTCATTAGAATGCGAAGGAGATGTGATGGCGGTGGCGGCTGAGGAGGAGGGTGAGAACCAGAGGAAGTCGTACGCTAGGACAGGCGTCCGCCCCAGCAGTTCGTTAAAGCCGAAGATCACGGATTTCTGTGGGATTGTGTAATATACACACATTGTTTTAAATATACAACCTACTAACAACTTGTCAGTAAACATTTTAATTAAACCAAAGGGTGACTCACTAGCATGCTTATGTCCTCGGGCGAGCCGAAGGCTAGGGGCAACTCTAAAAGACAATCTGCGAGTTCTTGGAAGAGTTGAAACAATCCTCGTCGGTAGAAGGCCACCATGCTGCGATCACCAGTCTTGCAGGTTTGAGCCAGACTGAGACACTGATTGAGACGATCGAACCGAGAGTAGAAAGCAGCCCGTGGAGCTTGGCACGGCAAGCAGTTCAGGGCGAAAGAGCTCACATCAAGACAGCTGGGAATACCCTTGGCTATGCGTAAAAGGTTGCCGTAACCAGTAGGCCCGAAAAGGTAGGCTTCTGCGTCTAGACCTATGTACGGAAAGGATGCATGTTTGAGTGAAACGATGGAGATTTATAACAGACACAAAAGCAACAACTGGTGCCTTTAATATCAACAGGACAGGAGTCTGACAGAGCTGGATCGATGTGTGGCATTTGACTTTTGTCTGTAGAATTAGGTCCACCATCGGAAGGTTAGCAGAACTTGCTGGCCTTTAGTACAAAGCAACTCCTAAAGGGGACCGAAATGTTCATGGAGACGAGAATTGCACGCCATTTGACTCATGGCCACAGGCCGGCCGCGCACTCCTCGAGCACACGTGACGCCCGCGCACACGTGCACTGCAGATGTCCTAGAAACGTCTCGCAGCGTGGGGAACCACGAATCAGCATGCACGCCAGAATCCCCCTCGCATGCGATTGGTCAGGATTAGTCTAGAAGGACCAAAGCCTTATAATAGGCTGTGGTGGACACACTAATTCCATTCCGTTGTCTCTGTACCGTCCTGAATAAAGGCTTGCTATCGGAACCACTCACTTGGCTTCTTCTGCCTATTAGTCGGGTTCGAACTAACTGGACTATAACAACTGGCGACGCCGAACTAACTGGGCTATAACAGAAATGCTCAAGTATAATAGGTCCTATAACGTTAACAATGTCGAGCTGAGATATCTGGAAATAATATATTATTGGAACGCAGGCATTCCAATGGATATAATTTGAAGGCAAATACTTTTTTTCGAAAAACAAACCAATTTTTTAGGAGGGTTTGGCAGATTTTAATATTTCAGTTGACCCAATTTTGAAAAGTTCGTGGTCCCGGTGAGAGTTGAACTTACGCAAAATGCAAAGCTTTTACGCAGCGAACGCTCTACCAATGATCTACGAGGTTCATCGTGAGCCGCTT